TCCCTCTCCCACTCCCCCTGCTTGTGTTCCCTCTCTCGCTATGTCTCTCTCTGTCAAATAAATAAATAAAATCTTTAAAAAAAAAAAAAAAAAAGAAGAAAGCAAGTCACAAATTAGATAAAGATTAATTTTCTAGTAAAATGAATAGCAGACACTGATTTTAACATGTCATACAAATTACAAGGGAAAAATTAAATGCTGATTTACATGCCAACTAGGGAAAGGAGAAATCTGTGCATGCATTTGGGAGCATGCGACCTGTACACATTTGTAACTACCTGGAAATATGTTTTTTAGACTTGTAGAGAATTTGATTCTATGGCCCTTCTGATTATTTCTGGCAATGGTGAATACAAACTTCAAGGATGACAAATTATCCTCAAACTTTATTTTAAAGAGTTTAACTTCACCGCTAGGGATATTAACCCATTAACTAAGTTGACTGCCAAGTAAACACACCAAAAAGACAGCTTCTACTGACCTAAGTAATTCAGGAACTAAAGCATCTAAAAACTGATTCTGTTGCATACACACTGTGTACAGAGTTTATTATGGTTAGGAGAAATATGGAGAAGAAATATTGACTAGAACACACACATGAAAATACCTAAAGTGGGCTGAACAGAGGTTAACATAAAGTCAGTGGTACCTGGGAACACAACTTTTACAGATCAGTGACAACTGCCAAGGTCACAACCCAAAGAAAGATTTTTTTTTTTTCCATAGAAGATGCAATAATCTCAATAGTGCACAATGTACTCAAAAAAGAATGTGATTTCCTTTTGTGCCCCAAAGTGAGAAAGGCATTTTCATCTGCTTGGCCTGCTTTAGGATTACGTGTCTTCTTCTTCCCTTCCCTCAAGCACATTCATAATAACAAACTGAATGTTAAAAGCTCTGGAGAAAATGAATTAATGACTCACTTTAACGGCTCAGGAGACAGTTTTGTGCCTGAAAGGTTGAGCTGCATCAGAGACAGAGAGCTACTGAAGAACTGTTTGAAGGACGGGGGTACTTCTTTTCCTTTCCTGAAAAACAAAACACAAGAGTCCTACCACGAGCAGTTATACTTGGGGTTGGTACCCCACTTCCAGACTAGCAAAATCACCTGTTGGTTATTCAGACACTGGGGAACAAAAATCCAGGAATCCATTACATTTTCAGTAGAAATTTAAAGGTAAAAAGAAACAAAATGTCTGGAAGCTAAATAAATCCAATACCATCAAAGGAACAATGCAAGAGAAGTTAAGACATTTAAGTCCTTAAAACCACTGCTATTCTTTGTAGCCAATGATCTCAAAACGTGTTTTACCCATAGATCTCCTTGTTTGAATTTTTTTTTTTTTTTTTAATTTTTTTATTTGACAGAGAGAGAGATAGCGAGAGAGGGAACACAAGCCGGGGGAGTGGGAGAGGGAGAAGCAGGCTTCCCGTGGAGCAGGGAGCCCGATGCGGGCCTCGATCCCAGGACTCCGGGATCATGACCTGAGCCACAGGCAGACGCCCAACGACTAAGCCACCCAGGCGCCCTCCTTGTTTGAATTTTTAAGAAACTGGGAGGTCAAAGAGGATGTCTATTTCTCACAATTTAATGAGCTTTCCCTCTGGGTGGCACTGAATACTAAGGATCGTTACGTGCACTTGGCAAAACTCTCAGACGCAGCCTGTCTCAGATGCAACAAGATGTGACCTAATGGTGAACTCAGGAACAACACAGAAAGTCTGACTGGCATGAAGCCTGCGTGGCAAAGATCCTGCTCAGCTCCTACATCCATAGGGCAAATCTAATCATTTCAGGCCAAATATTCAAAAAAAGACAAAACTCCAAAGAGATGGCTATAAACTGCAAATACGTGCCCTAGTTGTTACGGCAGAAATCCTACATCTCAAAAAGAAAGTAGAGTCAACGCCACGCTAGGAGGGCTTTGGGAAAACAAGACCCCAGAGTCAAAGTTGGAATGTGAACCCTTTGCTTGTTTTGTTCTATCTGCTAGAAGTGATGGCAGGATTGAGTAAGTCCACATGCGTGAAGCCCTCAGCCTGATGGAGAGTAAACACTCATTTAATGGTAGTTATTTATACTCTGTGGGCAGATTCAGAGTCTCAGGGCAGAGGCCAGGCTAGCAGTCTAGCTCACCCACATAACATTCAACAATATTTCTTGTACAAAGGTCCAGGAAAACCTATGTTAGAAAAAGGTTTTAAACAAGATAATTTTAGGCTACCTGAGAAGAACTACCCAAGCAACCAGAATCTCTAAGAGGTTGAAAATAAATTTAAGAGGAAAGAAAATTCTAGTAGAATATATATTAGATGTTTCCAATGAACTCTGGCTCCAAATAGTGAAACAATATAAGCTTGTATACTCCTGTTCGTTTTCGATGAGCAAATGTTAAAATACTCTCTGAAGGGGCACCTGGCTGGCTCAGTCAGTTAAGCGTCTGCCTTCGGCTCAGGTCATGATCCCAGGCTCCTGGGATCCAGCCCCACATCAGGCTCCCTGCTCAGTGCAGAGTCTGCTTCTCCCTCTCCCTCTGCTCCTCCGCCCTCATGCTCTCTCTCTCACTCACTCTCTCTCTCTCAAATAAAATCTTAAAAAAAAAAAATACTCTCTGAATATACTTCTCCTCCTACTACTTTGTCTGGGTATCTACTGTACCAATGTTTCCAAATATTCACTGCCCCTTTCTGTGGGAGGACGATGCTTCATCCCCCTACTGCTGGCAGGCATGGCCACGCGAGTCCCTTTGGCCAAGGGGACATCACATCAGACAGAAGTGATGTGTGTGACTTCCAGAGAAAAGCTGCACCAGCCAGTATGAGCTGTGACTCTTTTTCCTCTGCTACGTGGCTAGAGATCTGCCTTTCAGATTAATGGCGATGTGGCCAGCCCACAAGGGACATGTCACAAGACTACCACTGCTGAAAGCCATGGAGATGGGGGTGGGGAGCTACATAGAGCAACCTAACATACCCTGACTGACACACTTATGAACAAAAGTACGAACAGCCTGGCTGACAGTCCACAGCTCCGTGTAAAGGCATCAATTCCAAGATAATTACTAAGGGCTTGCTAGGACTGTATCTAGGTGAGGTGCTGGGTGTTTAATCACAACCTCTCATTTGGATGACAAGTGGATTTGTTAATACAGTCCCGCTCTGTAAGCTTAACAGCTCTACTGAAGACCAGTCATCACAGAAAAGGCGCCGGGGTGGCTCAGTCAGTTAAGCGGCCAATTCTTGATTTCAGCTCAGGTCACGATCTCGGGGTCCTGGGATCGAGCCCCGCGTCAGGCTCCGTGCTCCGTGGGGAGTCTGTTTATCTCCCTCTCCCTCTGCCCATCCCACCACCCACGTGCATGCACTCTCTCTCTAATAATCTTAAAAAAAAAAAAAAAGACCATTCATCACAGAATTCATAGTATATGAGCCCAAAAAAGGTGATTATGTGAAAATTTTTATCTTCTATGACATCATCTTCCCAACCCAGCTGCTCAGTCCATCCCAGCTTCCCGCAAAGCATGGCTTCTTAAAAGGCTTTCAAATACATGAGGTGACTGGGTAGTCTCCATCAATGCCTTGAAGAAAACCCCCAACTTCTCCCACCGTTACAAACGCCCCACACTCTCTGCCCGTGTCTTCTTCTGTTGAGGTGCTTGTGGCATATTTTTGCTCCTGTAAAGATTCACCTCACTGTTGAAATAATGGACTGACTGTGCTTTAAAATATAGAATAATTTACTTGCGAGGCACAGCTGTCCGATAAAGCCGGCTGAACAAGCGAACGTTCCAAACAAGTGAGGGTTATCCCTCTGAATATATGAAGTTTTCAAAATGGTAACTTATTAAAAGGGAGGTATTTCTAGTAGTCAGCAATTCTCCCTATTACTAAAAAGCACATAATGACGAAAATATGGTTTATGATTATGGTCATCATTACGAGTGCTAAGTACTGTATTAATTCATTAGATGGTCCGAGAATTTCACAGGTACATAACCCATGTACTTTTGATAACTTTTCTTTCTTTTCCCTCCATTCTAAGTCGCTGCTGTTTGTGAATACTTGCTGTTTCTAATCTAACACCCTACACTGCAAACAATTCTAAGTCAGGAAGGTAGAAGTGAGGTGCTCAGGCTAGCCCTACAATTCTACACATTAAAATTCATGAATCTGGGGACGCCTGGGTGGCTCAGTCAGTTAAGCGGCCGACTCATGATTTTGGCTCAGGTCATGATTTCACGGTCGTGGGATCGAGCCCTGCATCGGGCTCCATGCTCAGCATAGAGTCTGCTTGAGATTCTCTCTCTCCCTCTCTCTCTGCCCCTCCCTCCTGCGCGTGCTCGCTCTCTCTCTAAAATAAATAAATCAATCTTATTAAAAAAATCATTAAAAAAAAATGCATGAGTTTGGGACCGGCCATACTCTTTGCTCCCCAGAGGGAGTTTATAGTTGCTTCCAAGTTCATTGTTGAGAAGTCCCTCTAAAAGAGCTTTTACTATATTAAGAGAAGAGTGCCCATCCTCATGGGACAAGCAGTTATTAGACAGTTCACATAGCAGGCTGGGGCGATTGCTAAGAACATCCATCATACTGCAGTGAAAAAATACAACAAAAACTTGCACTTTCAAGGCCTTGTATTCACGATTATGGTTTAAGGCCACCTCCCTTCACGCACAACACGCATCCTTTATTGCTCTGTTTTCAGATCACCACAACCTCCTCTGGGAGGAAGACACTCCTAGATGACAGTGGTGGCAGGTAAAAAGCCATACCGGTGAGAAAAGACAGCTCTGGAGAGATTGAGCACGGATAAATACTGGAGGCATCCCCGGAGAAGAGCCGCGCAGACCTGAGAAAGAGAGAAAGCACTCTTAGTTTCCAATATTTCAAGGCCTAAGAGAATGTTTTATTAGAGAGAAAAGCCTCTCTCTATCACCCCTAAATGGCTGGTCTGACACCCCAGCACAGCATCAAGAACACATTACCATGTCCAGGGAACATTCTGTATTGGATAAATCCAGATGAGCAATGGCATTTGGCTGGGCCAAAAAACTGTACATGTACTTGAAATAAAAAACAAAAAAACAAATATATTAGGATCTGGAAACATAGACACACACGTTAATATTTTAAAAAGAAGTTGCCCAAATCCTCCCATAACCATTCTCTACTCTTCCCAAGAGGATGAGCAGAATTTCATGTCATTCCATGGCTTTCCCCAAGAGCAAAGTTCCAAAGAATATTTAAAATAAAAGTATGTTTGGATTAAAAAAAAAAAAAAAAGGCCAAATGAACTCTTGGCTGCCAAACCCCCTTTTGTTACACATGACTTAGTTTTCCTGATTAGCTCCATTTTTATAATTTTGGAGCAGTGCTAATTAATTTTAACTGCTGAGATTAAAAGACCACCTGAATAGCACTCACCCTATCAAAATGCTAATCACTTTTGAAAGTGCTCAAAGATCCACTAATTTGAATTTGAACCATCAGATGGTCTTGGGCTATACTCTCTTCCATCCAAGACAATGATTTCTTCTATCCTTAGTTACTTCCAAAATCTAACAAGAAAGGGTCTGATGGCACTATTAGTTTAGGTTTTGTTTTTTTTTAAATCTCATACACAGGGGGCGCCTGGGTGGCTCAGTCGTTAAGCATCTGCCTTCGGCTCGATCCCATGGTCCTGGGGCCCTGGGATCGAGCCCCGCATCGGGCTCCCTGCTCGGGGGGAAGCCTGCTTCTCCCTCTCCCACTCCCCCTGCTTGTGTTCCCTCTCTCGCTGTGTCTCTCTCTGTCAAATAAATAAATAAAACCTTTAAAAAAAAAAATCTCATACACAGTTCAGACATGTCAGGCTTCAAAAGGTCACAATGCCTAAACTCTCCCCTTATTCCTGTGCAAGGCCATCAAAACAATACACGTACTCTGTTCTTCTCTACTTGCCCTGAGTAGCAACTGCTAGAGTCCACCAATAACAAACCGAGCCCAAGCTCCTGCCACCAGGAAAATAGCTAAATTCTCCTTGGCTTCTCTGGATGCCACTGGATCCTTGCAAAACCAAACTAGCTTACATCGAGATGTCCTCGTCCTTAGCAAAGACTCACAGGGCAGTGGCTTAGCTCTATCATGCTTGAGCAAAATCCTCTCTACCAAGGAATTCAGAAAAGCAAAAGATTAGCCCGTAAATACTTGAGAATAACTAGACACACACAACAGACTGGATTATGAGAAGTTCTGATCCAGAAAAATAACTTGCTCTCACTTCGGTAAAGATCTCTGCCTCTCTCGGGCTTTGCCTGGCATGTGGTTTTCCTCTTGGCCACCAGCTGGGGGAGCTCTAATCACCCGTGACTGGTGACAAGACCCTGCTTGGCCAACACCTCTCCAAAGAGGCAGGTCCAGCTAGGCTGCTGGCCCTGAAGGCAGGGGCCGGGTAAGCCCCTCCCTGCACCTGCTGCAGGGCTCCCAGAACCTCCCAGAACCTGTCCAGGGCTGGGAGCCCACTCACGCAGGCCTCACAGTTCCACTTCTCTTTCCCCAGAGGCAAGCCGGAACAAAACCCACCCTCGGCCACCCTCAGACCCACTCCTGGGCTACTTTGCTACCTTGAGTGACTACGAATGCCCCTATGTTGGCAGAGTCTTATTACTTAATCTTCGGGCTCCTCTTTTATCCCTCTATTTCTCTAGTTTGCCACCATAATGTCTTAGTGGTTTTCCATCGGACTCCCGGTTTCATCTTGGGAGGGAGCAGATTTATGAATCATCACTGAAGGTGACAGCTAACATGGGGCAATGCACTGAAGAAGTCATGGCACACCAGGAAACAGGATTGCTTAAAATGGGTTCAAGTATCAGAGAGAGGGAAGAAATCCTACAAAAAGGACTGTGGCAGTATTCCCTGCCTTACAGGGAAAGTAAAACATAAGAGAAATGGGACTAAATTTCAAAATGGTTTTCACCCCCATAAAAGAGGTAGAACACACATGAAGGCCCTTAGAAGACGCACACTTGTTGTAGGCTCTACGTGGTAAGGGAGCATTTCTTCTAAATTCTATCATGGTGACCAGAGGGGACAACTCACCAGATCTGGACACTGAGATCATACCTAATTCACTGCACCAATAAGATCTGCCAAACATTTATATTACTGATTCAGCTGCACGAAAAATCTTTTCTTTGAGGGTAAACTTTCTGCCATCAAACTCGAACTTATTTAAAGAGTGGACCCAGTGTATTCCCAACCCTTGCCTCTCCCTACCGTATTCATGGAATATAGGACTGGACTTTATCGCAATATCCTCTTTCAATTGCAAACTATTAAAAAAAAAAAAAAAAAGCCTACCTGTCTTAACAATATTATTTAATGATGAAGTCATTCAGTTTACATTTCTAATCTTTCTTATCAGGCACTTTTAAGAGATCCAATAATGGTTAAAATGAAGGGGAAAAAAGGTCCTTTAGAAAAAAAAGTGTTTCCAAAAAGAATTCACACTTTAGCAACATTCAGTTAACAGGGGAAAACATCTATGTGCTAAACTACATTTAATTAAGGACGGCTCTGGGCTTTTTCTCTAAAACACGTCCTAAGCTCATAACTAAATGGTCTGAAAGTATCATGATGAGGGGAGCTGAGGAAAGCCATGTTTGCAAATTCTGCCAGGCTTATGCAATACAGCACCTTTGAACATGACCGGGAGGAAAGGGAAACTTACCGAGAGGTCGTCTCCGCGAAGGACGTTCCCTGAGAGGTCGAGATGGGTAAGGGTGGTGGCGGTCAATGGGTTGGCACTGAGTGACTGAGAAAGGCTATTCACCCCTGCAACATGAAGAAGATCCAGCTCAGTTTCCACTCCAGGAAACAAAAGGAGGCTTGGGAGTATCTATAAATGGCCCCGTCAAACTGCAGGACTGAGATTAGCCACAAGTAGGGTCCCCAAAGGTAGGACTGTCTTCTTCTGACCTCCCCTCGGGGAGAACAGGGGAGTGACGGACACAGCCATCTCCCTGAGCAGGACAAAGAGACAGAACTAGCTTCGTTCTGCTCCATGTCTGACGTGGATGGAAAGGATCTGACTTGGAAGTCCTGGAAGGATGCACGCACGGATGCACACAAGTCTAACTGGTCATTTCTGTCTCTCTCTTAATTCTGCTCGGTGTTCCTGACTTAATGTACGGGATTTAAGTGACGCAGGTGCGCCTTCAGGCACTTCTCACTAATTAAAGTACTTAGAAGTTAATATGAGTCAGATAACTGTTCTACCTAATATATCATACTCAAGGCAGAATTCAGAGGGAAATGGATTTTTACAAAGACTGAGAACATGATTTGTATACCATATAAAAAGCAATCGAAAGGAAAAATGGATAATTGACACTCTATACACTACTTACACACATAACATGAACAGCTCGAGTCAAAGTCAACTGCACTGAAGTGAACGGGTTATTACCACCTCAAAAAACAAAGAATAAATACACGAGGAGGGCAAGAGTGTTCTGCGAGGTGAGAGCCACGTTCTTTCTCTTTGTGGGTAACAGTCACGGAGCCACGTCTATTGGTGGGTTCTCCTCAAGCCACTTCTCTCCACGGGGGAAGGAGAGGCTCCAGAAGGCGGTCACTACAAAATGGGAGCCCAGAAGAGTCTGGCTGCTCACCGGGATTTGAAGAGGTCAATATTCACAATAGCACTGATGTTCATTCTTAGGGTAAGAGGGATAGGAGACATAGCAAAGCTCTTCATGTTTCTACAGTTCACAGTTCCAGTTTGTATATTTTGGAAATATGGCGATTTCTAAACTGGATATACATTCATAAATTTTTTTTTCCAGTAAAATTCTTAAAAATCCCAGCCTGTCTTGAGCACCCTACAGAGACACAGGGAAGGGGGCTTTGGTCCACACTTGCATAGACCTTCCTTGGGATAAGGGACGGGGGTAGGGCCTGCCAGTAGGAGACAGAATTGGTCACAGCAGCAGGATGAAGCAAGGCACTCCAAGAAAAAAGCAGAGGGTCCCAAGGACAGCCCCGCACTGGAGCAGGTCTCTGCTCTAAGTTTAGAATGTTTGGTGCATGGACTGATGAAAGGGTTATTATCTCATCCTCCAGCTTTGGGGGGTTACAAAACCGACTGCAGTGTGTACGTGTCTGATAAAGAAGACTGAGCCAGTTCTCAGGGGTGACTGTTCCTCTGGATACTGCAGACAGAGAAGAGACAGAAGTGGAGAGTGAAAAATATTTTAGTCAAGTACCAGGAAGAAGTTCTTGGCTATCAATTCAACATTTGTTAAGTGCTCATAAAATGTTTATAAAATGCTGGGGATTGGGAAATAAATGTAAATGAGGCCCCTTCGTTGCCCTCGAAAAGCTCAAAGACCATCAAGAAGGAAACTAAGTAAATTCCAGCATGAAAAATCAGCACTCCGCAAGGAGTATTTATTCACTGCAACAAAAGTTGATCTAAGACCAACTGTCCAGCTGGCATGGGCTTCTGAGACCCAGGGAATATTATGTTACCCTCGAAAGGCTAGTGCAATGAGAGACACAGTCAAATAACCGTAATCCAGAGAGGTCGGTTCTATCAAAGAGGTGAAAAACAGGAGCTTGGCAATGAAGGAGGTGGAGATTTGGTTAATTATGCTAGATAAAAGGAACTTGCAATGGCCTACAGAAGGTTAATTTCTGGAGGTAACATCTATGATTGCTTAAGTGACCAAATTCTTTCATGAGTACTGTTATTAGTAGTACTAGTGTATTTTGTAATGGAATAATTGAGTCCCAAGCATGGAGAATACCAGACGGTCTCTCATCAAGAAAATCACGTGTAAAATCACTTCCTTAGTGAGGCAGAACAAAACTCAATAAAAAAAATTCCAAAATTAGAAGGTCAAATTAGTCTTGACAGGAAAAGGCTCCTTGACAAGTGTGGGCGCTTGGCAGTTGCCAACGTCTGAACAGAATCGGGAGAGAACTGTATTCTCAGCTCAGCTTCATGCTGCTCGAACAGAATGGAGGACTTCCTCCCCCGCCTCGTGAGCCCACATCCACGTGAGGCCTATGTTAACAGGCACACTAACAGCAGGAAATTACAAAAATACAGGATGGGAAAAAACCAGGGCTCTTAGAGCCCAAACTAAACACGGATTTATGTGCCATTCTCGATTCTGGCTTTCTAGTGATTTTGACCATTCTTCGTATTTATTACTGGAGTGTTTACAGCTGGAAAAAGGTGGTACCAGATGACCCTGCATTGACATAATCTGGCAACCAGCAGGATATTTACTAGAAATCCAGAAAACTATCATTTAGCTAACACCTGAGGAAGAGAAAGAGTATTTGGAGACAGTGGGGATGTCATGGCAAGATTTAAAAAAAAAAAAATCTGTCTTGAATTATGGAGCCATGAATATACACGTTTTCATAGAACTAAAATACAAATGTTAGTCAAATTCAGCAAAAGATTAAAACTGCAGTGTAATCGGAGTTACTGTGACTCTTCAAACCTTTCAGATACTACAAGAAAATCTGCAAGAATAATGAAATCCTTTAAGAAATCCTTCTTATTAAAAACAAAACAAAACAAAACAAAAAAAACCCCAACATTTCAACACATACATCTCTTAGGAAGGGCAGCTTAAAATTCCTTGGGTCAGAATATCATTAAACAATATTAATTCTCAAAACACACATATTAAGGTACACAAACTTTATGGCAGAGAAAAGATAAACGTGGCGTGAAGACCTTTATCTGTGAAGGGCATGGGGAACATGGGTCTGTCCTCACTCACGAGAAAGCTGAGGACCTCTGCTCTGCCTGGGGGACCTCCCACCCTCATGACACCTGGAGGGATAGGAACACAGTGACTGGTGGCATAGAGGTACCCCAGACCAGACACTTGTCCTTGGGAGGATAGATGATCACCACATCCCTCTATCTGTCTCACAGTCATGAAAAAATAAATTAAAATAAATAAATTCAAGTTTTGGGGTTTTTTTAAACACCTCTATCGTAAAAAAAAAAAAGGGTTGGACCGCATAGCAGGGTGATGACAGTTAATACTGTACTGTGTATTTGAAAGCTGCTGAGAGTAGATCTCAAAAGTTCTCATCACAGGGTAAAAGAAATTGGAACTGAGTGTTGACAGATGTTAACTAGACTTATGGTGGTGATCATTACACAATATGGAGGTATCAAATCATTATGTTGTACACCTGAAACTAATATAATGTTGTACGTCAATCATATCTCAACAAAAAACAAATAAATTTTAAAAAGTTATACTATAGATCACGTGATAAATGATTCATACGTTTAGTATGTAGGGAATATATATAAAGAAAGAAGATTAACATTGCAAATAGAGAGGTAACAAAGGATGGAAACTAGCAACTTCCTCCAAAAGAAAGACAAATGACTAAGAAATGGGAGGGTGTGGGGGGTGAGGGTGGGGAGAGAATTCACCTAAGCAGTAAGTGAAGAAACTAAAATTCAAATATCAGAACACTTCAAGGCTTAGTCGGTTAACCATCTGACTCTTGGTTTCAGCTCAGGTCATGATCTCATGGGTTGTGAGATCAAGCCTCACATTGGGCTCCCCGTTCAGCAGGGAGTCTACTTGAAGATTCTCTCCCTCTGGTCTTCTCCCCACTCATGCATTCTCTCTCTCTCTCTAAAATAAATAAATAAATCTTTTTTAAAAAATCAGAACACTTTTGCTTATATGCTTGATAAACAATGAAAAAGAATAACATCTGAGGGTGGTGGGAATGTGGAGATTTGTACAAACAACTTGGAGGACAACATGACAATAAAGATGAAAAGAAAGCTTTAAAAAAATGCATGACCTTTTTGATTGAGCAATGTAGTACTTAGAGAAATTTATCCTAAATAAGAAAGTAACAAATGACCAATAATTACATAGAGAAGTCATGTGAGCATTGTTTGCATTATTGAAGAATTAGAAACCACACAAATGTACAATAACAGGCCATTTAAATCAATTATGGGGCTTGTTCCACACGCTGGAACAGCATGCAGCCACAGGGAGTAATCGCGTGTTTGCGGTCATAAAGGCTCACAATATACTACGTGGGGTGGGGGGAAGGTTTATGAAATGGCAAGCATCTTGTAATACCATCTACGCATGTGTGTCTGGACGTGGGCAAACAGAGAAACTACATACAGACAGAAACGCTGTGGAAGGATGGGTGCCAGGCTGTCCGCAGGGGTGATCTCCTAATGGTGTGGTTCTGGCATAACGAGTAACTGTGGCTTATTTATACTTTTCAGTATCTTCTAAATCTTTACCATAAATATATGATACATTGATAATCATCAGAAAAAGGTTTCTATAAAACTGATTTGCTGGAGTAGAGGAGTGGTAACATCACCGGACGACACTTAGCTTTAAGATCTGTGGACGGATTCCGGTACATGGACAAAAAACACCGACTCCTGGGCAAATCTGCCCCTTTGAAAAGTCCCTAGAAGGCCTAAACCTAAATGTCTGCACATAAAATCACGGGACTTACCGAAATAACCCCAATTTCAAATCACTCTTAGGGTAACTGTATGGTGGGAATAAAGCAGGATTGGATGGCTATGACATCACTGAGGGACCGTTTTGCTTGTGCACCCACTCACCCATGACACACGCAGTAGGGACCCGCAACGTGCCAGGTGCCAGGGACACAGCGACGACTGAGGCACAGCCCTTACCATCCAGAAGCTCCCAGGCTAGGACACAAACCGCACACAATGGGAAACACGCTAAAACAGAGGAATTTGCGAAGTGCAATGGAACAGAGAGAAAGAAGCATCGACTGGTGCAGGGTGGGGCGAGAGAGGGCTTCAAGGAGGAAGGGAGACAGTAGCTCAGTCTCACAGCAGGGGCAGGAATTCACCAGGTCCGGGGGAGGGGCACAGGTTGTCCCAGGACGAAGTAAAAGCACACATATGGCAGAGCAAGATGATGATGGTGACGGTCATGAGGTCCTTTGTGCCCCAAAGTGCACTGTTTGTGTATTAACTCACTTTGTCTCACCACCTCTGATGAGCTAGATACTCCTTTTTTTTTCTTCTAAAGATTTTATTTATTTGAGAGAGAGAGAGAGCATGAGCAGGGGAGGAGCAGAGGGAGAACGATAAGGAGACTCCGTGCTGAGTGTGGATCCCGACGTGGGGCTCGATCCTACAACCCATGAGAGATCATGACCTGAGCCAAAATCAAGAGTCGGATGCCTAACTGATGGAGCCCCCCAGGCGCCCCAAGGTAGAGTCAGTTAATTCCATCTTACATATGATGTAAGTGAGGAACCTGACCTAATAAAGGCATGTTCATCTTCAGTGGAAAAAATCAGGACTCAACCCTAGGCAGTCTGCTTGAGAACAGACACTCAGGCCCTCAAACACGACAGTGGTCCAGACACTGTGCCAGTGCTGGAGAGATGGAGATGAGAGAGGCAAGGACAGCCCCCCTCCAGGATGGAAACAGTATTTATATAGTAGCATTAGATCTATAAGTAATAATGTGATCAAGAACTAACACAGAGGAAAGAGTGCTTGATTCCACCGAGGTCTCAGGAATAGGGAAGATGTCTCAGAAGAGACGATCACAAATGATTTTTTTTTTTTAAAGATTTTATTTATTTATTTGAGAGAGAGAGTGCACAGAAGCAGGGGGGAGGGGCAGAGGGAGAAGCAGACACCCTGCTGAGCAGGGAGCCCCATGCAGGGCTCGATCCCAGGACCCTGGGATCATGACCTGAGCCAAAGGCAGACGCTTAACCATCTGAGCCACCCAGGCGCCCCACAAATGAGTGTTTTATACAATAAACTGAAGCTCTCCAAGAATATATATAAGGGGGGGCGCCTGGGTGGCTCAGTTGGTTAAGCGACTGCCTTCGGCTCAGGTCATGATCCTGGAGTCCCGGGATCGAGTCCTGCATCGGGCTCCCTGCTCAGCGGGGAGTCTGCTTCTCCCTCTGACCCTCCCCCCTCTCGTGTGCTCTCTCTCTCTCTCTCAAATAAATAAATAAAATCTTTAAAAAAAGAAAAAAGAATATATATAAGGGGAGATGTGAGATAATAGAAAACATATATATACTGGTCTCTGCTCCCCATTCCTAGCACAGAGTTCTCTAAACCCTTGTAATTTCTGAAGTAGTAAGAGCACTGGGGACATCTTTTGTTCTAATGAGGTGACTCTAGGTGGGCTCCTGGATGGGGCCGGTCACCAGAGAGACCAAGCCATGATTAGAAGCTTGAAATCTTTAGCTCCCTCCTACCCCCGTCCTCCAGGAAGAGGAGAAGGGCTGGAGACTGAGTTAATAATTGATCATGCCTGTGTGAGAAGCCTCCATAAAATCCCAATAGCACAGGTTTTGGGGGGTTTCCAGGCTGGCAAACGCATCCACACCAGGAGGGTGATGCACCCCAGCTCCACAGGGACAGGCGCTCCTGCGCTCAAGACCCTCCCACCCTTTGTCTTATGTATCTCTTCACCTGGCTGTTCATCTGTGCCTTTTATCATATCCTTTAATAAACTAGCAAACCGAAGTGTTTCCCTGAGTTCTGTGAGCTGCTCTAGCAAATTAACCAAACCCAAGGCGAGGTCTTTGGAACCTCCAATAACCTAGGCTTGCAACTGGAGTCTCAAGGAGGGTTGGGAGTAGTCTTGTGGGACTGAGCCCTTAACCTGTGGGATCTGACACTGTCTTCGGGTAGGGAGTGCCAGAATTTCGTGAAATTGTGGGACACCGAGCTGGTGTCACAGGGAACTGCTGGGTGTGAGGAAAAACCACCACACATCTGGTGACCAAAAGGGAAGTGTCTGGTGTGAGTAGTCAAGGAGACACGCACACAGGAAAGAGAAACACGAAGGAGGGGAAGAAGGCAGGTTTCACCCTGCAGGATGAAAGAAAGACTTTGCAAGCAGAATACAAAGCATGTACAAAGGCACAACGCACGCAGGGATATTTCAAGTGTTATAGGGGTGCTGATGTGAAAACACAATGATAGAATGGACAGGGTTTACTGCCCAACCAGATACATGAGCGGAGGGTGAGTGGAGTCAGAAAAGACCCTGGGGAAGGAAAGGCAATTTCCAGAGCAGGACAGAGACTGCGCAGTTAGGTCCACCAGTTTTCCATGCAGGAGACCATCCATGTGACAGCATGTGTGACAGGGGTGGGGGGGTGGGGGAAGTACAGGTAAGCACTCCTCAACGCTAAGTCAAAAAGTTAAATAACATATTTCATAATTATGCTCTACTCTGAAAGCATCTCACTTTAGACAACCAGAATTCCAATTACACCACTTCTTCACCTTATAACCCTAAGAGTACTGTAATTCATATGCAGACATAACTAAGTAATACTTCTAACTATTTAAGGTAGCATGGTGTAGCAGAAATATTACAGACATAAAGTAAAGTAAATAATACATACTGTACCTTTAGGTGATAATGAGGTTTTAGATAAATTTAAATGCTTTAATCCCTTTGGGAGTTTGGCAAATTGAATACTTAAAGAGGACACACCTGAGAAAGGAAAAAAAAAAAGATTATTAGAATGTTCAACTTCTCAGAATTGCATTTGTTTTATAATGCCTGAAAATTAACTTAAATTTGATTCCAACTTAAGTGATCTTTTTTTTTCTAATGTCAGACTTTATTTTCTAATTATCTACCATCACACCTCCTTTTTCTCTGTCCTACCTAAAGGATAGGAGAAAAGAAAGATTCTTTAATTAAGCATAACAATATAAAAACTTTACCATTAGGGATGTTTTTCTTTGGACTAAAGTGTTACCCTCTCCTCTACAGTCCTATTTCAAATGCAAATACTCTTAGGAAGAGTGATATAATTGCCTCTTTTTAACCTGTGTCTTAATGAGTTGATCACTCTTCTGGGTGAGCAGATGCATGCTACTTATTGTCAAGAAAACGGGATAATGTTAACTCTTCAGATAACAGCTTCGCTTTTAGCACATGGATTCCAATACTTAATTGGCTTACGGCTAACAACCTCAGACAAAGCATCAAAGTGCGTTTAACTTCTTAAAGGTAGGTTTTGTAACTTGAAAAATCGCAGTATTAAAAACCAGAGAGTCTCTAAATTTAATGACCAGACTGGGAGACTGTGAACACCAGCTTACTCACTCAAGAATTGCAATGAGTGTAGACTGTTCACTGGGAAGAATAAGTAATACATGAATGTATGCTCTTCCTATAGATCATTCAACCAACTTCCTGCTACAGGTGAGTTATCACCTTCCCAGGGGGCATGTTCCTGGGAAGGTTCCTGAAACAATATTAACCATATGGTCTCCTAGACTGATTCTTAAACTCCATGCACTGATACGGAACTACCATGCTGGCTGCTGCCCTATTACATAACCCCACATTCTCTACACATTTTATCAAAGTTCATCAAGAAATAGCTAGTGTAGTAGTTAGAGTAGAGGTAGAGCACTAAGCCTCTAGTTGGATGTCTCCCCAAGGACGGTGGGTGTTCTGAGAGCCCCTATTTACCTCCTCATACCATTTCCCAAATAAATTTGAAAATCCCTGGATTAAATGATGTCAAACAGGTTTGTTTATGTGAATATTTCTAGAGATGTGAATATGCTAATCCGTATCATTAATTACAAAGAGGGGGCAGGCCTGATATTTAGTTGATAGATTCTTGTAAAAGAATGTATAACTAGTAAGTTAATGGGGACACAGGGAAAAGGGAGTCATTTTAGAAATGTAATTAATCCAAAAGGCAGGAAAGGAGGAAAAGAGAACAAAGAAAAAATGAGGAAAAAAGAAAACAGACACATAGTAGATTGCCATACAAATAAATCATTAATTACAATAACAGACTTGTACCTCTGAAACAAGTAATACATTATATGTTAAAAAAAAAAAAAGAAAAGAAAAAGATAGTAGGAAGGGAAAAATGAAGGGGGGGAAATCGGAGGGGGAGACAAACCATGAGAGACAATGGACTCTGAGAAACAAACGGAGGGTTCTAGAGGGGAGGGGGGTGGGGGGATGGGTTAGCCTGGTGATGGGTATTAAAGAGGGCACGTTCTGCATGGAGCACTGGGTGTTATATGCAAACAATGAATCATGGAACACTACATCAAAAACTAACGATGTACTGTATGGTGATATAATAAAATAAAATTTAAAAAAATCAATAAATCCTGATAATTTTGAAAAAATGTAAATGTACTAATACTCAAAACAAGTCAAAAATGGATTATCTAAACAAAATTATAAGGTGCTTTCAAGAAACACTTAGAAATACATGTATTCAGAAGTGAACCGAAAAGCATGTAAAAAGATATATGCTGCAAACACCAACCAAAAGAAAATTAGTATATCTGCAATAATATAAGACAAGTTAGAATTTAAGAGGCAAAGAGATAAGTGAGACATTTCTTTAATGAAGAAGATGTAATGATTTTAAATCTGTATGGTCTGAATAACAATTTCAAAATGTATAAAGTAAATCTAATGGTAACAAAAGGAAAATACATATATTATTATATACATTATATATATGTGTGTGTGGGCTACCTCGCAACAGTGGGAGATTTTTAAACACATCTCTGTCAGATGATAAAACAGACAAAAAAGGGCATAAAGACACAGATGATATCAAGAACACAATAAAAAAAATGTTTGATATATTTAAAACACTGTACGTAATAACTAAAGGACATATGTCTTCAAAGTACACATGGAGCCTTTATTTACCAAAAGTGACAATAGGCTGAGCCAAAAAGCAAGTCTCAACAAATAATATAGAGGATGTTCCTTAACTGCTGTGAAATTACACAAAGCATATTCTCCAATTGCTACCACTATATGCAATTAATACAGGAATTGTAGCAAAAAGAGAATTTGAAAATCCCCAAATCATTAGAACATAAGCAATGTATTTCCAAATAACAAATGAGCTCCCTAAAGAGGACACACCTGAGAAAGGAAAAAAAAAA